AGAATTTCTTGGTTTGCAAATTTCAATTGCTATAAATTCATTCTAAATGGGCTATTAATTATGGTCATTTAAACTGTGTAGTGGAGGTGTAAAAATTTCTTCTACTCCGTATCTTCTTATGGGTGTCGTAAGAGGCGACAGAGGGAAACTGACTGACAGGAGTTGCGCAGCAGCATCTTTCTGATAACAGCAAAATTAACAATAAAAATAGTGGCTTCGACTTCGATTACCAAGCGTGGCCTTTATGGCAGACATGAGTAACGATACAAAGAAACAGCCCCAAATCCCCGTCGGTCTCACTATTCGTGCCTATGGTAACGACCATGCAACAGCGGAGCATGGGTTATTAGAATCTCCGGTGGGTTTCGGTACCTAAGATGACTCGACGTAGCTACGTTCAACGCACGCACCCTGATAACTGAAAAGAAGCTGCTAAAAGTGGTGAAAGAGGTAGACAAGTTACGTTGGGATATTATAGGATTATAAGAAGGCAAAAGGGAAGGGGAATATACGGTAATGTCTCTCGTTAACAACGTTGTAGAGAGTGTGTCGACGAATTTTGTGTTAAGGTACACAGACTCACCAAACAGTATTCGTTAAGCATATCCCGATGAAGAGGTGGAGGAAATGTATGAGGATGTCTCTAGTGGCATTCATTCCTTCAAATTCCACTATACAGTGTTAATTCGATACTTAAACGCAAAACTAAACAGTCAAGTAAATAATCAAGCTTAGCTGGTAGAGAATGCCATATATAGGGTCCGCCATCTAACTTTTTTTTCAACTAGTGCTTATTTCGTGATTGGCAACACTTAGCTTATGTCTAATTTGACAGATAATTAGTTTTATCCTTCCGCTGAACGAATATTGTTGTGTATACGCTTGAACAACGCTGGGAAATATTGCAACATTACTTTGAAAATCATGGTAATGTTGCAGAATGTGTGCGAAAATTGCGTACGGATTTCGGAAGAAATGAGGCACCGTCAGCTCCGTATGTTCGTTAGCTTGTAAAAAAAGTGAAAGAAACTGGCATCCTCATCGATAAACCAACGCGTGAAAAGCCAAAAACAGTATGTACACCCGAGAATATTGCTGCTGTGGCCGAAAGTGTGCGTGAAACGCCATCAACATCAGTTCACTGTCGTTCTCAACAATTGGACATTTCGGAGACATTATTGAGACGAATTTTGCGTAAAGACCTTGGTATGACGCCGTACAAAATCCAATTGGTTCAGGAGTTGAAGCCAACTGACCATCCAATGCGTTTTCGCTTCGCTAAGTGGGCCTGCGATCGACTTGCAGAAGATGCGGATTTTGCCAAAAAAATAATCTTTTCAGATGAAGCTCATTTCGAACTTGGCGGGTATGTAAACAAGCAGAATTGTCGCATTTGGGGCACAGAAAACCCGCACGCATTCATCGAAAAGCCGGTGCACCCAAAACGAGTCACTGTTTGGTGCGGATTTTGGTCCAGAGGCATAATTGGGCCATTTTTCTTCGAAAATGAGCAAGGTGTGGCCGTTACAGTCAATGGCGATCGTTATCGGGCCATGTTGAACGAATTTTTGTTCACAGAAATTGAAGAGGAGGATATTGGCAACATTTGGTTTCAACAGGACGGCGCAACGTGCCACACAGCCGACGCTACACTTGATGTTTTGCGCCCTGTTTTTGAAAATCGCATTATCAGCCGCAGAGCTGATGTCGTTTGGCCACCTCGGAGCTGCGAGACAATTGACGCTTTAAAGGACAATATTCGTGAAGCCATTGGTGAAATACAGCTGCACACAATCGATAATGTACTCAAAAATTGGACCGATCGTGTAGGCTACTGCATGGCCAGCCGAGGCAGCCATTTGAATGAAATTATTTTCCATCATTAACCGGAAGGATTGTACTTTCAAATAAAAAAAGAAATTTGAAAAAAATATTTTGTAGGTAGTTTTTTTTAATAGCATTTTAAAAAAAAAAGTTATTTGGCGGACCCGCTAGTATTAAGGTCACCTTTTGTACAAAATCTTTGGTGCAATAAAGAATAAAATAAAATAAAAATAAATAAAGTAAATAAAAGAAAAACAAAAATAATCAAGTATGTAGTTAAGTCAACAGGCATTCAAATAGTCAAATAAATAATCAAGTATATAAAAAAGTAAATAGCCAATTCAACTATCAAATTTAATGTGAAGGAAATAATTTAGTAAATAGTTAATTAAATAAATAAAAACAGGCAGGTAAACTAGCAAGATAATATTCAAGTAAATAATCAAGTATAAGTCAATTAAATAGTCAAGTAAATAATCATGTAAATAATCAAAAAATAACGGAGTAAATAGTCAAGAAAATTTTCAAGTAAGCACAAGTTAGTAAATAATTAAAAAATAGGGAAGTAACAAAACAAATGCAAATAATAATAATTAATCATGTAAATTAGCAAGTCAATTGTCAAGAAATAGTTAAGTATACTTCTTTTGTACGAGCAGCTATGCAGGTCTAGAGTGGGAGACCAGTATCACTACGACCTGAAAGATCTATTGTGATCGCTGCTATGGCTATAGTTCTCAGCTAAGCCCTATGTTTCCTATGAATAAAGGGAGTTATTTAGCTGTGAGCAATTTCACTTATTCTGGGCGAAGTACATAGTTTCCCAGATGAGTGTTACGTTTGCGCATTAAGGGTCCACAATCAGTTAGGAAGTGCAGAGGCGCTTATTCCGTTGAGGAACAAAGCCGGCACATCCTTGAGTTACTTAGACCCAGAATGAAATTTTTAAGACAACATTGTCCAGTCAGGGCTCTTACCAGAATGCGCAATTTATTTTTACCTATTCCCAGAGTTTCTGAGACGAATTTACGATCAAAAGCCCGGATTAAGTTTTTTGAATGTTTTAATCCTGGTGTATCAGACCAGACCTTAAGTGATTTATTGTGATAAATAGTTTTAAGGTTCAATCGGGCTAGGCTTTTTGAGATTAAACAAAAATTGTGTACTCTTTAGCCCTCCCGTGCGAGCCCGGCACGGTACGCACGGCACGGTGCCCCCCCAAACGAGTTCCCGCCTTGTCGTGGCGGGGGATGGAGGGGGGAATTAGTAGCTATGGCTTGGTCACCCGCGGTGAACTAAGAGGAACCCAAATGGCTGGCCCGAAGTGTAGGGCCGGCCCGAGGAGGTCACTCCGAATGGGCTAACCTATTGAGTACATAAAGCCAAACCAACGTTATGACATGTATACGCGTCGACCTGAGAAACTCCTTTTGAAGTATTTATTGTAATTAGCTTATATATTCAAAGGAAGTTTTATATTTTCATTTGCTCAAACATAATAAAGTTCTGTGTAATTATTGAAACGGATTCTTATGTAAGGAAAGGGAAAATAAAATTTTGATTATCTCGTATGAATAGAAATCGAAGTTCAGAAACCATACAATGTTCCCGGTGTCGTTTCGAATTCTTTCCCTATTTTCTACGTAAGCAAACCACATCGGAGGTATTATTAAAAAAACAAGCCCAATAAGTGCGCAATTACATCGCCCGCGTTCCACAAAAATATTTTCTATAGACGAGCATTGCACTTTTCATTGTTACATGAAACTGGGAACAGAAATATTGTAAATAATTTTATATAATGGCTCATTTACAAAAGGTAAGGTTTGTATCATCATTATTATTAATATACTGCTCGCCCCGAAGCCCACTGTTGATTTTTAAAAATTAGAAGGTGTGTAAACTATACACCATGAAAGTATAAAATTAAATAAAAAATTAAAAACTTTGGGCGGCTATTAGGAGCATATTCCAAGCATGCTCAATGGGATTTAAACCTGGGGATTGCGCTGGCCATTCTAGGGTCATGACATCATGTTCGTGGAACCACATTGCTACCACCCTGTCCGTATGTGAACAGGCACTGTCGCGCATAAGCAGGAAATTTTGACCCATTTGTATTTGATGTGGCAAGACTATAGGTTTTAGCACCTCATTACGGGATTTTTGAACCTTAATAGTAAAACGAATTCCTGCCTACACAATAAACTGCACCACGTTGGTATGGATAAACTTCCATAGAGTGTTGAAGCTTAGTTGTACGACTAGGAACTCTCCAAACACGTTCTCTTCTCGAATCAGGCTCAAAATCAAATCGGGATTCATCGATTAGGTTCCCAGTTCACATGTTCTCTAGACCATTGCAGTATTTGTCCACTGTTTCCTCTTATTAGAACTGGAACCTGAAGTGGTCTACAAGCATGAAGTTTGGCTTCGTGCAGTCTCCTCCTCACAGTTCGGTAAGTTACAGATACCTGATGTTCTGACTGTTAGCATTTGGACCAATTGCATCGCCGTAACTTCTAAAAAACTTTCTAAGAGTATTAATGCAGCTTGGTCCTGGATGTCTCTCCGCCGTGGCACGATAGCGTAACCATAACTTCGAAATCATATTTTGCCTGTTGCTGCAGTTATGTTACGTTGAAAATCACCAGTCTGTAGCATTCCCACTGCTCTTAACATCTATTCTTCAGTTAAATGACGAAGTTGCGTTGCAATAAAATGTCAAATTATCACAACCTACCCAAGTTGAATCAAAAATATGTTTAATAATAAGTTTTAATACAAATGTTCAAAAAAAAAAAAAAAAACAATTACCATGAGTACAAAATTTTCTCCCTTTAGTTCAACGCATTTTTTACCGCTAACACATTCTATCATTTCATTTATTTAAATTTGGAATCATTCCGGAATAAATGACGAGCAATTTGATATTAAGGACATTTTAAAGTGGCCAGTACTTTTAAATTGGTTAATGTTATTAAAAATATCGCTTTACCGTGTTGATGTGTTTGTTATGAATGTGTATGATTATGACGTTTTTAATGTAAAAATATCTTTAATATGGACTAAAAATCGTGCGAAATTTAAAACAGCAGAAATACTTTTCACTGTCCGCAAATACTTATAATAAAAGATATCACATTGCCCAATCACATCGGCTGAAACTTCTTTAGGATCTAGGAAATCTGAAGGTACCATTGATAGGATAATAGCTGAAGTCGAGAAAGTAACAAGTACTGAAACTCTCCAGGTGAAGATTAAAAATATTCAAGCGGCTTAGTATTCCCATGTGAACTATTTGGAGATTATTATTGAATGATTTCTTATATTTACGCGAACACTACACAATGATAAAAACTACTTTTATGGTTTTTATCGCGTTTAATTTATATTATTTTTAATACTCGACGTTTCGGGTGCTTTCCAGCACCCATGGTCGCGGGGGACTGAGGTGACTGACGTCCCGATGTCAGTGTTAACCCAAAGTACCTTCAGCTTTTTGATTATAGTTTTTGGTCCGATCTACGCAGAATGAACTTACTGTGTTTTGAAGTCCTGCAGTGGTACGCTTGGATTTAGTTTTAATTTTATTAATTATAGTGGCACAAGCAGGTTGTAGTACCCATCCTCCTTCTCTATTGAAATAAGGTTGTTTTTTAATTTCAATAGCCTCACGTATCATCTTTTGTAGGAATCGAAGTCCTTTCGTGAGGGTTTGTGGTATGATGTAATGGTTGGGGCCGTCTACAATATGATCACAAACTGTTTACTTCCCGGAACGTTGATGCTCCACGTCAGCTGTGTTGTTTGATGTTTTTATTTGCCCTATATTATGAGAGACCACATTACCAATCAAGTTTGTACACTTCTGCATCTTCTAAAGGAATCTAAAACTAGACTAGACGACTATCTTCTTTCGGCTGTAATGTTCTAATAGAACCTCGCTTCAAGATGTAGCCAATCTAGTTTGTGACACCTCTAACATATAGTAGTACAGAAGGCACGCGCTCGACTGTGGACGGCTTCACTCGTTCACTGTGACGTAGGCGCGGGACCCTAAGCTTGTTGTCGTGCGGAACCTGCTTGACGTGCTGAAGCCAGGTGTTTGCTGTCACAGATCCTTCGTGCTCTCTGTAACAGAGATTTGCCCACAGTAGCTAACTGTCAAGAGTGATGGTGAGATTCATGTTTGAAGATGTATAAATTACTTAGTTAGGATCCGTATTTCTGTAAAAATAAAAATAAAAATGACATATTTTACCTAGTTTGGAGAGCACTTCATAAAAAAAGTAAAAGTAAAGTTACAGCCTATATACGTCCCACAGCTGGGCACAGGCCTCCCCTCATTTCTGAGAGGGTTTTAGAGCAAGGATGTGTCCGCCGCGCTGCCCCAATGCGTGTTGGCGAACTTCACGTGTCTTCGAAATATTTTTTTTCTTATTTCTCAGACATGCAGATTTCCTCACGATGTTTTCCTTCACCACCGAGCACGTGGTAAATCAGCACTTAAAATTGCAATTAAAAATTTCATTGCTGCCGGCGGGGATCGAACCCGGGTTACCTGCGTTCTGTTATATTTACAGTGAGCGTTAACCATCTGAGCTACCACGGCTCATAACAGGAATATGTTAAATAAACAAAGACGTAGATACAATAAAACAAGTAAGTTACTTATTTATATATATTATATTTAAGTTACTTATTATTCCAGTGCTTCCAGTAACATCAGTTATTTACATAATATTGAATTTTATGATGTGATAACGGGGAATGAAAAACCGTAATAGTACTGATTTGATTATTAAAGTTGTATTAAATTCCTACGTAGTATCTTAATTATTTAGGTCGTTTTTATCTCGTTTCATCTCCTTTGTCGTTGTCAGCGTGTTCATAATATACCCTGTACGTTTTTATCTACAATTCAGTCGGGTTATTACAAATAAACACAGTTGGACAGGATTGAAAATTAAATTCATATCTAATCAAACCGCGTTCACCCTCATCTGCCCGGGGATTCTCTGTTCACAAATTAAACTACTACTATTTGCGGTGTCATTGTCCTGGCGTACGGCAGACACGACGTGCGGGCTGTTATCACTTGTCGGTAGCCATATAGCTATGGCTACCTTAGCCTTAGCAGGCAACGACCTTTTGTTAATACCAATGCAATGTAAAGGGGGATGCCCACTGTTCATAGACACTTCGGCCATGGGTGCCCACATATAAAAGCATATGGAAATGATAATATGCAATTAAAATAATGAAATGGTTAAGGAATTGGTTTAAAAAAGGTCGGGATTTTTATGATATAAAGCTTTTTATTTTCACAAATACAGCTTTTTAACGACTACTTTTACCAATTTTATTGCTTTTAATTTCTTTAACTTTTAATTCCCGACGCGTGATTTTTCTTTTTGGAGGCCTATGCCAAAAGGCACACCGAACAGAGGGACTTACTTTAACTAGTATTACAATAGGAACTCAAACACAAATATTATGTAACCCCAAAGTTCGGAAATAAATGGCTATATTATTATTATACTATTATTATTAATTCCTGAAGTTTCAGGTGCTTTATAGCACCCATGGTCACGGGGTACTGAGGTGACTGCCATCCCAATGTCAGTATTGGGACATGGAGTACCTTCAGCTTTTTATTATTATTTTTGTAGTCCAATCTACGCAGATTGAACTTACTCTATCTTTAAGTCTTGCAGTGGTATGCTTGGGGTTTGTTTTAATTTTATTAGTTATAGTGTCCCAAGCAGGTGGCAGTACCCAGCCGCCTTCTCTACTGAAATTAGGATGTTTTTTAATTTCAGTAGCCTCACATATCATCCTTGGTAGGAATTAATGTTCTTTAACGAGGATTTGTGGTCTATCAAATCTGATGTATGTCTATCTGGTTGGGGTGACACCCTTGACATACGGTAGTACAGCAGGCACACGCTCAACTGCGGTCGGCTTCACTCGGTCACTGTGACGAAGACGTGGGACCCGAAGCTTGATTTTGTGCAGAACCTGCTTGACGTGCTGAAGCTCCGCGGCCAGGTGCTTGTTCTCACAGATCCCATATGCTCTCTGTAACAAAGATTTGCTCATGGTAACTAACTGTGAAGGATTATGGTGAGATTCACCGCTTAAATATCAGTTTGTATGGGTCTTTTTTCTATACACAGTGTGACCTATGATGTTGTTAGGATTTTGGATAACAAAAACATCTAGGAAAGCTAAGAAATTATTTGCCTCAGATATAATATCATAATTACTGAATAGAATTTGGCACAGAGAGTGGTAACGATGGATAAAATTCATAGGAACAACATCCTGATTTAATATTTCTTGGGCCATATTCATGAGCCGCTCTAATTTGTTTCTTGGTACTTGCAATAATGCCTATATACATTCATCACTATCTCCTGTTCTTACTTTTATCAAATATCCAGCAAGTGCAAAGCATCCACTATGTTTACTTGACATTTTGGGCACTTCAGACAGAATTTATTGGCATTGTGCCTTTGATAAGCGTAGATAATAATGTACAGTATATTCGGGCATATTGTAAATATTTTCAAAGTCTATATGATGGTAAATATTATCTTACAATAATGTAGAAAAATCTATAATTTGTGCTACACTAAATGTTTTAATATGGTTATATATTAATTCTAAAAGTAAATACCAAGAGTTACTATTTAAATGGTAGTTACTGATTCTACATTCTGGAGGTACATAGTAATTGTATTCACAAAAATACATACCCGCAATGCTGATGGAACAGTGAGTTGATTGGAATTGTTACAACCAGGAAAAAACATTGATTTTGTGTGAGTGGTGCTCTTACAAAATTAGGCAGCAGTATATTGTATGATGTATGATCTAAGCTTTGTTGTTCTAGGTTCAATACATTACTCACTTTAGATTGCTACAAGGATGGACTAGATGATTCAGATGGTTCCCGTTCTAAAGTTTAACGTGTTGCTGCTTTATGAATCCTTCGCAATCACTCGATGACGATGGCAACTGAAATAATATTAAATAAAAAAAATAAGACAAAGTGAACAAAATAAAATAGATTTGTTTACTTTAAACTCAAATATAGGTAAATGTTACTTAAAACTTAATGCCCTATATTATTTAATAATTAAGGACTGACTGCCTACCAGTAGTCCAAAAACAATTAAAAATCGACTGTCTTATTTCTTGGTATTTGATAAAAATTGTCCATTTCGTAACTATCTGGTGTTAGCTAGCTAATCTTATCGCCGTGTTACAAATAAGCTATTTTGTTTGTCAGGTATAGCTTGTGCATATGTTAAAAAATAAAACAACTTCATCATTTCATACATTCATCACTATCAAATATCAGCACTAGAATTAATAAATTAAAAACTGTTGAACACTTACTTTTAACTGTTGTCACACTATAATGTGATCGACAATCTCACTCCATATGAGTTCTTGAGAATTTATTTGAAAAATAACAAACAAAATAACACAATGGCAACTATTTAGTTGTGAATTCACTAGTACCTTTTTTACTTGTTGAATTGTGATTTCATTTCGCATGACATATTTCCTATAGCTGTCAGATTTGATGTTGCTACATAACTAACATAAATACAACGAAACGATATCGATTTGTATTCGATTAGTAACTTAATGAAAAAATAATAACATTTGAGTTTCGCTTTCAGTTCTACACGCTTTTTAAAATATATTTTCTTTTATTTTTTTTAAATTATGTTTTAAACGTATTTTTAAGAACAGTTAAAATGTTGAGTAGCGTATTGTTATGCTCTAAACAGTTCATTGTAAATCAGCTAAAATTCACTTGTTTAATTATCATAACATGATTCCATTTTAAATGTATTGTTAAAACAGACAACAATAACAGTTAAATTGTGCAGTAGCATTTTATTGTACTCTAAAGAATTCATAGTAAATCAGCTAGTAATTCGCTTGTTTAATTATCATAACATCATAATATCCATAGCGATTCGATTATTATTCGATTAATAATTTCATAAAAAGAGAATAATCTTGGAGGTGTTTTAACTTCTGCTCGCTTTTTAAAATGTATCTTCCTTTTTTATTTAAATTCTATTTTAAGTGTATTTTTAAGAACAGTTAATTGTGCAGTAGTGTTTTATGAAGCTCTAAAAAATTCATGGTATATCAGCTAGAAATTCACTTGTTTAATTATCGTAACATGATTTCATTTTAAATGTATTGTTAAGAAAAGATAAGAATAACAGTTATATTGTGCAGTAGCGTTAT